CCACACTCACACACCCACACCCACACCCACACCCACACCCACACACCCACGCCCCACCCACACCCTAAACGCATTGCATAGAAAATCTGCGTCCAGACGCGTTTCGAAATTTTTTCTAACCGCGTGTCAACGCGTCTCATATTACATCGCGTTTGAATGCGTTCAGTCAAATTTTTATTAAACTCGTATAAACGCGATTTCGATATGAAACGCGTTGAGAAGCTGTTAATATTTTTTTACAATTGCGTTTCAACGCATTGTGTACAAAAAACGGCGTTCAAACGCGTTTCAAAATTTTTCTAACTGCATCCCAACGCGTTTAATATTGAAAATGCGGTTGAATGCGTCGTGAAACCGTTTTTAACCGCGTCTGGACGCGTTTTGTTGTGAAACCGCGTTTCAACGCATCGATTTTGCGTTTCGTGTTTACATGGGCATCGTATTAAATATTTTCATCAGATAAAGACACTCACGGTTATCTTCTTTCTTCTGCTTATAAGTTAAAAAATTCTTTTGTGTGAATCTCATTCGTCCTTTTACAATGTCAAAAATGAGCTGAAAGATGGCACTCATGTAGTCAAATGATGCATGCACATATTCTTCGAAGAAATTAGATTTCATCAACCTAAAACATCACATTTATTGTTAGAGAAAAAGAAAAATTTGTTAAAGCTTGATTTAATGGAGTATCGACCAAAGAGTTTAGCTTTAGCGGCACTAGCATAAGCATATGAGTATTGAAGATGGTTGTAAGGATGTGTGAAGTAAATATATATATGAATGTATAAGTACAGATATGAGAATATAGGTATAAGAGTATAGATACAATTCTATTGAAATAAGAGCATAGCTGGGCAACATACTCGAAGTACTCGTACTCGCACTCAACGCTGAAGTACTCAAAATCCTAGATCAGTATGAATTTTAACAAAATTATGCATGAAACATATATGTAAAGCTGGAAACTTCAATTCAATCGAAATTTCAAGTTTTCAAGTATCCATCTTTTGAAATTTCCTACTTTCAAGTTTCAAGGGTTCAACTTTTGAAATTTTCGTTTGGGTGCGGCGGGATGAATCAATCCTGAAAGCTAGATTCAACGCTTCAATCATCTTACAAATATTCAATGAGAGGCAAGAGCTTTTCCGCGACTGACTAATCTTATATATTACCGTCGTGGTGTGGGTACGCGAAGCACCCTTTGAAGAATCACGACCCGTGCACGTCTCTATGTACACAGTTATCGACATGTGTCATGCTTAGCCCTACATAGATGAAACTTGAAGCTTAACTTCTTGTAAATTTCCAAACTTGAAAACTTGAAATTTCAATCGCAATGAAGTTTCAAGTTTCACACTACTGTCAAGTTCCTAGTAACAAATCTGAAATAGGATTATTGAAAACAAAATTTACAAAAGTTTGCCTTTGAACTCGTTTTTGTTACAGCTCGCATGTTTCTGCTAGATTTTAAAAGCACTCTTTGAAATATGTTGGAACGCGTATTTCTTTCCCTAAAAACGCCAATAGGTAGTTCGCGAACACACTCTTTATAATACGTTTTAGTCAGGTTTTAAGGCATTTTCTGCATAATTTTAATCGATCCTCCCTATAAGAATCTTTGACAAGTCTCTGTCATATTGCTAAGTCCTTGACAAGTCCCTAAAAAGTCAAATAAAAACATCAAACCCCTTGGACATCTCCAAATAAGTTCTCAGAAGAGCTTCAAGAAATTCCTTTTCTTTGTGCTGCACTTTTTAGAGACTTCTCAAGATTTCAGCAAGCCGACAAAGACTCCGAAGGATTCTTATAGAGACCGTCGACTAGGGAAGTCTGTTTCTGTTCGATTAACCTAACCTTGTACTTATCCTTATGTCATTAAATCCTTACCTTTACCCTTAATCAGAGCTGTGCAAGCACAAACTTTCCCGATTACGACTACGCCAGATTTCCTTAAGACCACTACGGAAAATTTAATTAGTAAACTTAGAAATGACTCGATTACACGACGCTTCGGCGCGCGACACTTCCGCGCTACATGAAGTTTTCTGTATTTTATGTGTTAATTTAATATATCTTCTATAAATTTATTTACTGTTCTATTGGTGCGACTGCAGAGTTTCGGTGTGAGTGTTGGAATAGAACGAAGGCAGCTGGGATACTAATACCAACAACCGCATCCCAACATTCAAATTCACTCCAGAAACCACATCCGACTGCCTGATCTATATATGAGCTCAACCCACCGTGTCCTCTCATTTGCGAACATAAAATCGAAATTAAATATCTGTTAAATTCAATTTCAGTTGTTTTTTAAATTTAATTTATTCAAATTTAAAATAATCTTAGGTCTGAAATTTTCGCTTTTCAAATTTCAAAAAAATTGATCGATAACAATTTTAAAACAAATTAAAATTTCAGTTATATTTCTAGACTTGTTTAAATTTATAGAGTTCACTAGAGATTGAGCTTCATTATTTTAATTTGACAACCTGTAATTTGTAGAGAGCGCTAAACTACAATAGTGCTTCTTTTCTTTGTAATTACTGAAATTTATAGAGTTCGCTAGATATTGAGCTTCACTATTTCAATTTAATGAGCTGTAATTTGTAGAGTGCGCTAAAATATAGTAGTACTTTTTTATTCTTAATTGATTGCAATTTATAGAGTTCGTCAGACATAATTGTTACTCTGAATGCCATCAGCGTTTTTTGATTTTGAACAGACCATATAATTATCATAGTAAAATGTAGTCAAACATTAAATGAAGATCACTGATTTGGGTGCAAAAGTATTTATAGACAAAAATCATAGATACCAAAAATGCTGTTCTAAAAAAGACGGCTCAGAAATATAGATGTTAATGAGTATCTTTTCTTGACGAACACAGTTTGATTTGCCCACACTACAATCGGAACAAATATCAAGTTATCACAACAAGTTATAATACAATCTCCTTAAAAACTCGCTTTGTCTTTAACTGAAACTTTTCTTAGTTCAGCACAAATCGACGACCCAACCCATACCAAGCCATACGTGCACTTCACAGCTCGAGTCTACACCCACAGCCGCACCGATATCTGGAATGCCAGAAGCATCACCAAGCATGCCAGTAGTATTACATAAGATGCTATTAGCATCACTGGGATGCTTGAGACATCGCCTGAGTTCCTATAGATCTTATCTTGGATGATGGAAGCATCACTAGGATGTTAGAGATATCACCTAGACTGCCAAGCGCATCATGTGGAATGCTAGTTATATTACATTTGATGCTAGAAGCGTCACATAGAAAGCAAGAGATGTCATTTACAACGCTGCGTACAACCCAAGTGATACCTTTGGTATCCGAGGTTATGTCTATAATAACCCAGGTGACGCTTCCAGAGTCCTAGTTTTGCTACTAGTATTCTAGATAATACAACCAGCAACTCGCATGATGTCTCTGGCAATTCAGATGATGCCTTTAGCATCCTAGTTTTCCATAAAAAACAATCTATCTTTCGGAACACGCGAGGTGCATTAAGATAAGTTCCTCAATCAGGTATCGATCGGGCAGAACTGCTTGAGCAGCTCATCTATGATCAGAGGAACTGTTTGAACAGTTCATTTTATTTCAGCTGCACTATCGAAAACGACCAGATCAGTTCAGATCAGATTGCTTTTACAGGCAGTTCACCAGTACCAAACTTTTACCGAATTAATATGACGACCTATAACTTTCTTTTCAAACGAAACAAGTGACAAATGTATGTGAAAACCATCAATCATTGCTTCTTTTATGACTTGAATATCAATGTGTGTATTGCCTGTCATGTGATTGTATGTGGCGTTTCTCTCTCTTTCTCTTTGTTTTTGTCATTTATCGCTCTATTATCACCTTTCTTCTATTCTTTTTCCTATTAACAATATATTGTTGTTATTAGTCTTAATATAAAATGATGAAAACAATCCTACGAGTTTGATTATACACATCACAGTTTTGTACTATTCAAACACAAAGATGATCCCTATATTGCAGAAGCATGTTGATATTAGAAACTCATTTGAAACATGCTTGACAATATATATTGTGCGAGAGATTTAAGGTTCAATCTTATGATTCTACGAATGAAAACCTTCTATAAAATTGAAAAATATTAAAAAAAGTTGAAATGTTAGGAAAAAAATGTAGCACATGTATTGATTAGTTAAGCCACTAATAGAACTAAAATGATTATAATATTGATAAAGATGAAATTGATAAACTGTTAAATACAGAACAATGTTCTTGAGCACTACAAAATTGATCTAGATTATTTGTTGTCATGATTCATAATTGTGCACTGTTTATTTTCCCGCTGCTGCGGTTGTTGTCGTTGTTGATGATGACGATGTTGTTGTTAATGTGGTTCTTGTTGATGTTGTTGATGTTGATGTTGTTGATGTTGTTGTCGTATTTGTGCTATTTGTTGTTGTTATTGTTGTGTTTGTGGATACAGTCAGAGTCAAATCTTGACTACCATTATTGAGTCCAATGCCCAAACCTAAACCGAGTGCTAAACCAAGGAGAATCAAAGAAGCAACTATACCAACGGTTATTGTGAGTTCCAATGGTTTCCAAGGGTTCCATGCATTTATTCCAAGGCCAGGTTTATATTGTATCATGTCGCAAGTAGACGAATACTTATTAATAAAACGTTGTTTATACTTGTTCGTCTTGTTTCCTTAGCTTTTACGTTAATGTTTACACGTGAAATTATTAATTGATATTTTTTTCAGCACGAAGGACAAGAGAAAGCGTCATCTTTACAGGTGTACAAAACAGAATATTATATACAGAAAGAACGATACATGATATCGTTCTATGGACCAAATATTACTCATATAAAAAATATGTTCGAACTAGAATGCATGACATTTTCATGAGTTACGTACAACTCGAGAGCTTATTAACTGCTCAAATGTTAGTTTTTTTTTAAACTGACTCTTAAACTTCTTGAAAAATGATTTTTATAAATTCGAAGATGTTTAAGGATAATGCTAATCTTTGTGAACAAATTTTTTTTTGGTGTATAGAGAATAAAAATTGTTCGTTAATAACAAAGCTCAAAACATTTAACCCTAGAAAAGTGTTTTTTTTTTAATTCAAAGTTTCTTTCAAAAGTTGAGTAAGGTACGGTAAGCACTAAGGCATTGATTAGCACAACATGTAATGTTAAAAATAGTCCATTTTCATTTATATCTCGATTTACATCTGGTTCAAATCATTTTATTTTCTGTATGACTGCAAAGAAAACATCGTTTTGTTAGAAGCTGCTTGCTCTCAATTAAAGAGATCATAGACGAAAAATTTAGTGAAAATAAACATGCTGATATAGGTTCATTTGATGGCCTCCCTTTTCTAAATAGCCAATGGGTGTGGGTGTGGGTGTGGGTATGGGTGGGGTGTGAGTGTGAGTGTGGGTGTGGGTGTGAGTCTTTCCTTCACCCACACCCACACCCACACCCACACACCCACACCCACACCCACACCCCAAGAATGCCCTAGAAAGCGTTCGCTTATTCAAGTGTAACGCTTCATCTGTTTTAAATGATAGGTCATTATATAAAGAAATCAACAATAGAAATGAATCTCAGAAAGACAAAAACCACATTTCGTTACCAACTAACAAAACCATAACTCATTGGAAAGTTTTTACTATAAATATATTTCATTTCAGCGAGCTGAAAATGGCAAAAATATAAAAAAGAGAAAAGAATGAAATTCAATAACAACAGCACTCAAAAATCTCCTAACGTTCATCCTATCGTTCGGCAAAATAACTGTTTGTTCATGCAGCATAATCTGCTATTATTTCAATAGCATATTCACATTTACCCTATTCATTTAGTTTGTTTACTATTTTGCGATGCTCTTCAAAACAAGTTAAGCTTTAAAATTTTCCCGAAAGTAGTGCAAAAAAAGGAACATATTCATAGTAAATATTTGAACATTCACAAATGTTTGCTTCTTCCCCTTCTCTCCTTTACTTGGACCTTATTTAAGACTGACCACTATTGTATTGTACATAAGACAGATACAACGTAAAGTGTGAAATAATTAGTTCATCATAAGTTATTACCGAGGGTAATTGGAAGCTATTCTTGTTGAATACAGAAATGTTCGAATTGAATTTATGTTGAGGGAAAAGTGAGCGTAATTAATATCAATCAATCCTTCTTTCACGGTAATTTCCAATAGTTAACGTAATCAACGACAGTCAATTACTATGATGACCACCAAAGTTCATCTTTTTTTTTGCCTTATTTTTTTTGTTTTTATGATAGGTTTTATCGAAAAAGGTAGTCGACAGTGAATACAGTCTCTAGATGCACACACATTCATTTGAGGAAGAAGAAATAATGTTGACTAGCAATAACAGATACCAGTCTCTTATCACAACAGCACGGAAGTAAGATTATGCCTATCAATGAAGCATTTTTTATAGCTAGTTTTGTCAATTAGGGTATTTACGCAATCTTCGATAAGATATATAGTGATATCTATTACATGGTGGTGGAGCCAGGGAGTAGCTGGAGGGGCTCAGCCCCCCTTAGAAACCTTTGAGCGCTCCCCCCTCCCCCAAGTAAAATTTGTAAAGCATGTATTTTATTCGCCAAAGGGGGCTCAAAGGTCTCTCAGAGGGGCTGAGCCCCCCCCTCAGCTCAAAATCCTGGCTCCGTCACTACTATTACATTATTGATTATCTTGTTTTTTATCGTTGGCATCCCCTTAATAATTTGTTTTCGTTCGAAATCAAGTGATGAGTTATCCTTCGTTTTATAGACTTCTTATTCTGCATTGAACAAATAGGATAGTAAAGATTTTAACTACTTTTATACGTTTTCGACAGACTGATGAAAATTTCCATGGGTCATATTTCTTATTGGATATTTAATATACATGAATAATTTGAAAAAATATCAAGTTATTCTTGTTCATTGATGATCTCACAATGGATGTTAAAATAATAACATGCTTTAAATTATAAATATATAATATTTCATCAAGAAATTAAAATTTTCAGTTCAACTTTTCCCATGTTGCAAATATCATATTAGTTTTAGCGATTAACCACTAATAATGGCCAATCAATAGATATCACTACAAGAATATATTGTGAGAGATCTTTGCTCATACAGTACTCGAATGGTCTATAAGGCAATAAAAACTTCCTGGTCAATATGACATTTATGTGAAATGTATCTTACGTTCTGTATGTGAACGAGCTAGTTACAGAAGAACTAATTCACTAGTTGCAATCGATGAAAAATCAGAACGAAACTCTAAACTAGATCGAGATTGAGAGGCATTTTCATCTTGTATTGATGTTTCAAACCGAGTGAGTATGCAGACAGTATCTGATGCACATTGACTTTTAAAAAAGATGTGAAAATTCAAAAAATTTTCTGAAAAGAATCACATTTTCTTTAAGTTCGTTATTGCATTATAGTAACTAGTTTTATCCGAAAAAGCGGAGTTGATGAGGAATTTGAATTTGCGACAAAGGCCAAAACCAACCAATCAGAAGCAGTGAAATATTCAACGTAGTATATAGTTATACCACTATAGTAGTATAGCGGTATAGCGATGTAGAGTTTTAGAGATGTTCAATTTACGGTGAGAAGAAACTGCAGATAGACGAAACTGTGTATACAGAGACCAATGTCGGTTGCGACTATTCGAAGAGCGCTACGCGCTTTCACACCACGACGTAGAAATAAAATGTGAGTTACGTGGACAGAAGAGTTTCTGACTAATGAATACTTCAGTATGCATTCTACATCGCTTTATTGCTTATACCGCTATACCATTATAAAATATAACGGTTTGATTTTATTTTGTTACAAATAGAGATGATTTTAAAGAATATGATTGTGTCACAAATTCGAATTCCCCATGATATGGATGAGTCATGTACTATACTAAAATAAAGTGGTTAAGCCGTTCTTGTAATCAATATTTAGTTGATACCAAACGGATGCAAGATAGAAAAAACTGTTATCGTAATCAAATGGGTGAATAAAGTGTAAAATATGACATGCGTGTGAGATGTAAATGAACCGAAGAATCCTACTCAGACCCTATTTCTCAACAAATTTTAGTGATGGATCACCATTTTATATTCATTTTTCAGGTACCTTTTCTGTTAAAACCTTCTTATTCATAATTTTTTGTTGTTTACGAAAAAAAACTTTGAAAAGAGAAGTCCTATGACAATATAAACTGTTTTTTTCTTATTGAATCTCTTAGTCTTTTTTTTGCTTTTAGGATATCAAGCATGGATATGAATTAGGTGTTATTACTAAATTAGAAAAAAGTTTTCGAAGTCGGAGTCGAAAAAACAATTATTTTCGGGATCGGAGTTAGAATCGGATCGGAAGAACAAATTTATTTTGGAGTCGGAGTCGGGTTTCGGAATGAAAAAGTCTGACTCTGCTGATCACTAATCTATACCCTTAGTATCATCATTGTAGTTGCAACTCGTGATATCAACAGTTCTCAAATTGACATCAATACGAAACATGATGATTAGAATAGGAAATATACGAAGATCGAGTCGAACTACAAGGGCACTTTAATGAGCAATTTTCAATAGATCTGGCATGTAATTGACCTTCAAAGCTACTTTCTTTCTTAGTTTTCCGTATTCTCAGTGGTTAACATATTGCTCATTTTACTATTGATCTGAGTAGCTGTTATAGTTGTCAATTGCTGTACTGTGGGTATCGGTGTGGTCACAAGTATATTCCTTTCACTCACATCCCGAGAAAAATTCTTAGAAGACACATCTACATTTCTCACCCATAGACTGACCAACAACTGATCTTAAACATCAGATTCTAAAATTCACTTTGAAAATACAATCATCTAATGAACATTGCTAGAAAATGTTTTCATTGATGAGCACAAATATAGAAACTTTATCTCACAACTAGCATTTCAAACTGCAACGCAAACTTCAAGTGTCAAAATACTGCTTTATTTTTCTGATGCGCATGTTCTAAATAAGTGATGATAGTTACTTTCGTGATTGTATCTGGTCTATTCTGGATTTTTCTACACACTTTCGTTCCTTCTGCAAGGAGTGATCAAAGAAGATAATTGAAAATAACGAAGTTATGTCATTTGATAGTATAATATTTAAATAAAAGTAACTAAGAATATCATCACACACAAATTAAAAGTAATATAAAACGAAGAATTTCTTTCGTTCTATCAATATTTCAATGCAAATGATTCATTCTTCTCTCTCTCACATTTGAATGTTGACAGAACGAAAGAAATTCTTTGTTTTATATTACTTTTTCTTTGGTTCTTTATAGAAAAATGTTTTGCTTGAACTAATTTATGTATAATTATGTTCTTAGTAAGAACGAAATGTTACACATATTAATAAAAATTTAGTGAAATAATTGATAGTTCAGATATTATTATTTTTAAAAAGTTATATTTCTAATATTCGCTACATGGTAATTTCTTTCTAATGATGACGATTATTCAAAATCATGCTCGACTATTTGATGAAAAGACTGCTATTTTTGGCAAATCAGTTGGAAGATTCTCTTTTTTCAAATAATAAGAGCTCTTTGAAAAATAAACAACGACTTCATATGCTTAAGTA